AAATAAGCGATCACGCAGCGTAGTGTTCTTTGATACTGTCCGCGGCCAATTTCATTCAGATGAACCCCGTCTAGATTGTATCTTGGGTTCTTTAGGCCTCTATGCGACCATTGCCACCAACGATCTTCCACAAATGATCTTGCCTCGACAAGGCCATTGAATTCACTTGCCCACTGATTGAAAACCTCCACACTCACCTGCTCTCGAAACATTCCTCTAGTTCTTGGAAGAACAGGAAGAAAAACAATAGCTTCGGGAATTATCCCCTCATCTGTGATACGTTGCACAAATTTACAAAGTTTATCATAAACTCCAGAAGGGGAAGCACCTTGCGCACACAAGTCATTAGTTCCCAAGTCAATGATTAAAATTCTTGGTGCTAGTTTCCTTAGCTTTCTAATATAAATTCTCCTTTTTGCTTCAATCCGTGCCAAAGATAGACCCCCTTCCCCATAACAACTAACTGACACAGATTCCTTACCAAACTTGATTTTAAGTTCAAACTCTTTTGTGCCTCCCAGGCGCGTAACAAAACTGTGCCCAAAAAGAACATAGGACATCTTGCCCACAATGCTTCAAGAATCAGTTAGGTTATACAACAATCATAAAACTCTAGGCTACTATATAGTTAAGAGCAAAAGCAACATTCAAAACAAACTGAGACAAAGTCAGATTCTCGCACAAGGAACTGGATTGCCCAAGCCTCCCCCAAAAGAGAACCTGGTGACACGATCAGCACGACAGAGTTCTATGTTCACTCGCGCACGCACTGGAGGGAGGCAGAAGATCGTCATTAGAGTCAGTTTCCTCTGAACTCTCCGAGGTTGACCCTGTCGATGGGTGCATTTTCAGAAGTTTCCTATTTACAGTGGGCTCATTTCCCCCTTGAGAAGGATGGATCTTTAACACGTCCCCCTCTTTATTTACTTCGGTTACAATGTATGTCTCCTGATGATACGCATTTTCAAGTTTATGTCTACCCTTGAATGCGCCTCTTTTCAAGAGGACTCTGGCACCTGGTTTTATTTGTTTGCAATGCTTTATTTTTGAGTCAAAGCGGGCCTTGTTGCGCTCTGCCAACTTTTTGGTCATTTTCTTCACCATTTCCCCAGCCTTATCAATCAACTTCGCTTGAGCTACTACGAAGTCTTGCTCCCATGCTGAATCTGTTCGGCCAAGAATTTGGTCAAATGGTATCAGAGGTTCCCGTCCAAACATAAGCGTATACGGGGCTACACCCGTGGTAGAATGTGGGGTGGCATTAAAGACGTAGACCAAGTGGAAAAGGAACTCCGGTCACTTGTGTCGCGTCCGCTGATCAACAGATTTGACAAGACCGAACAGCGTGCGATTAAATCTTTCAGCTTGGGCATTACCCTCAGGATGATAAGGGGTGGTATGTAATTTCTTTACTCCGTACAATGCGCATAGTTCTCGAATGATCTTTCCTTCAAAATTTCTACCTTGGTCGCTGTGCAATTGGCTTGGGATCCAGAATTTGGTAAACCAGTGGTCTCGGAGGGCGCGCGCAACTGTTACGGCGAGCTGATTCTTACATGGGACTGCCTGGGCAAATTTGGTGTACACATCTTTCATCACCAACACTTCTTCATACCCCCCACTTCCCTGATCAAACTTTACAAAATCAACCGCTAAAACTTCCAAGGGCCTAAAAGCAAGGAGATGCCTCATTGGCACTCTAGGCTGGGGCTGCGCCTCCTTGGCCATGGTACACTGCTCGCAATGCTTGATATGACGCCGGACTGTTGCTGTTAGAGTTTGTGGCGCGGGTTAGAGAAAAATCCCGTCCTTCGGAATATGCATTTGGGTGTACACTCATGGAGCAATGTTCTTTTAATAACACTTTCAGTAGCTGGAGGAACAGTTTACTCGGAGATCATCCGAATATGGGACATTGTAACAGACCACAAAAAGCTGATTCATGCCATCAATGTCATTGTGAAGTCTGTGGAGCGCGGAGAGGAGTGTATCATCCGCAAGAACCTGGTTGGATTCAGCAAGAAGTCCACAACAGGTTAGACTCCTTTCAAGCATGCTCCATTGCTATATATATATACTCAAAGGAGGATAATGAGGGCAGTGTATGGCTCACTTTAATACAAGACCTGTATAATGTAAGAGAGCATATTTTTAACCAAGTCACAGCTCATTGTTGTCAAACTGAAGGCACACATACACCTGGGTTTAATTTGAAACAGACATGATTTGTTGTGTCTTAAAGTTTGATGGAGAAATGAACAAAACTTATGATAGCCGACATTTGTGAATTTAAGAAACCTACAGCTGTTCGAGTCTTTAATTAGCCCTGTCCACATCCAAGTTTTTGTTGTAAAGCTTACCGAGATGATGGATACTTTTCTCCTTAGTAGCTTTTCTCAAGTCCAGCATTTTCCTGTACTGGCCAACTGCTGCCTAGGGAAACTGACCAGATAACTTTTCCCGAGATAAGTCCATTGCGGACAGGGCACATCAATAAAAGCAACTGTGGAAAGCGTACAGCAAATATTGCAGGACTGAGCTGCACAACAGGGAGACTCGGCATGTTGTTTTCCAGTGGCTACATATGTATTTATTCACTTGGAATATATTGTGGCAATTTTTGTCCTCCCACAAAATAAACTGTTTACTACTACGGTAGCGCACAGGAGCAGCTCCGCGCAGGGTGGGAATTCCTGTGGGCAGCAGGTTCTCAACAACCCGGGGGGGGGGAGTCTGTTTGTGGAAAGTATATCCACACTTGCAGGCAACCCTATCAGACAGACAAGTAACTGGCAAACAGGACAGGGAATAACTTATCTCATCCGTTTATTCAACACCACGCAAGGAGGTACATGTACCTCCTAAACTGTGACCTCGGTTACCAGGGGAGGTGATAGGACCTCCGCCAATGACCCCCCACAATGTCCAAGAAACCAATCCACTATTTGTAAGCAAAGTCCCCCTGCAAAACCCACTTAAAATAACAGAATTACGGATTACCGTGCGTGAGCAGAATCCAAGCTTGACTTGCCTTAATTTAATAGCTCAGAAACCATGTCTAGATGGAAATGACACTAGTTCTTACTTACAGTTCAGAAAGCTCAACATCCTGTTCGGCACACTGTAAACGTATTCTTGGAATGATGCAGTTATTGCGTACCAGCGATATTCCTGCCACATACTGCATGCTTTTTGGAAGATTCCACAAACATATCTGTACAAATTCAACGACGGTGTAACATCATTTGCTTGTTGGAGGCTGCCCCAACTAGGCATCCTTGTGCCTTGTAGATTTTGTACCTTGATGTTGTGACAATCCTGGGTATTGTGGTGGCCTTGTCTTCTTTGTAGTCTTCTACCCAGTCGGGCCAGCCCATGTCAGCGAGCGGTCTAGCTTTAGAAGGCCGGTGACGCCAATCTGTTTTGGCAGCAGTTTACCACCTGGCCCGTAGCACACCACTCGCGGCAACTACACCCAAGGGTCAGTTTCATCCTCGACTAACGGGAGAAATGGAGGAACTGGGTAGCAGTGTTATAGTCGAGTACTTTTTTCCGAGTACCAAGTACTGCCAAGTGCTTTGACTGCCGAGTACAAAGACATGGCGAGTACTTTGCCAGCCGAGTACAAGTTCTGGTTTCCAAGTACAAGTACTTGCACTTCCGAGTACAAGTACGAGTACAAGTACTTCTAATTCAAAAGGAGTTTTATCTTAATTCAGAGACTCTAAGACCTGCCACTGTGTAAAAGAAACACCAAATACAGATGACATGGCTACAAGAACAAGTGATCTGGCTATCAATGTCACGGTCACTACACTGCGTTGCAGCAGTTGACACAACGTGCATGACGCAGTGAAGTCTATTTTCCAGACTTAATTGTTCACATGCCTGTGATTTTCTGTATGCTGGGTGCGTTGTTAGAATTTCGAGTCCAGGAGTCAGACTGCCAATGCCCAAGTAAATCCCGGGACCATTCTGGAGTACCACAATATAATTTGCGTACGTGATTGGTTCAGTATGCGCACAGACGGCGAATGGGTCATATACGTTCGGCCTTTCACTTTGTCTGAACCGTATCGAATATCGGGTCATTGGAGTCGATATTTTTGTACCTTATTTTAATGGCCATGGTAGGTTAACTTAAAGGATTTTTTTTATCGAGTACTGTTAATCGAGTATGAGTACTTTGATGCTGTAGTACAATTTTTGGATGTCGAGTTCCGAGTATTTTGTAGCCCGAGTACAAGAACTGTAGTTCGAGTACGAGTACTTGGATGTCCGAGTACAAGTACGAGTACTCTGAAAATGGTACTCGAGTAGTACTCGAGTACGAGTACCGAGTACGAGTACTACAACACTGCTGGGTAGATACAGTTCATGCAGAGCCACACTTCTTCTTTATTCATCTAAGTTACTATACTATTCTCCGGCGCAACAACGTTAAGAAATTACAATGAGTGTGAATTTCTGATTCTTTCAGGATCCGAAATAGGCAATCATAAAAATTGACTAATTTTCAAGATGACATTGTGATTACCGATCAGTAAAATGATTCATGTCTTGATTATTTGTACTGCTATGCCAAACTCACACTTGAGTACAGTGCTTCTTTCCCGCGCTTACGCACAAATAGTTCATCAGGAATACTGGTCTGCTCAGGTGGACCACCAGGTGGGAAGAGAGAGCAAGTCACAGTTTTGTAGGGACTGCTAGGATTCACTGGTACACTGAAATAATTATACAAACAGATATACCTATAGCAGCCGGGAACCAATGACGGTACTCTTAAAAAAAAACAGTATCGATACTGCATTGCGTTACTGTATTTTTCATCCAGTGTCGGACTCATAAGTAGATACATTAGCGGCGTGATTGTCACTTCCAGTTAGTGATAGCCTTTCTGCCAGTGCCCATTGTGGCACTTGAAACATTGCTGTTGCATTTAAAAACAGAAGATATCCACCTTATTTCTGGGAAATGCTCTAAAGAATGGTTTTCTTTTTTTCCCCTTTTCTCATGGCTCAAATTAAATCTGTTGAAAGGACAGTAAAATTTGTGTTTTGGGGCATTTGTGGCTCCAGAAATAAGGCCTGAACTTTATAAATCTGGTTCCCACCCCTCGAATATAAAAACCCCATATTCATGGGTGCACAGAATAAGATGGCAACAAGACTATCATTAATGGGTGGTATATTCATGAACTGCTATTTTAAACGACAGCAACAGCAAAAGTGTGCATGTGTAATCGACTGCTGCGCATAGCATCCTTGCAAAAAACGCATGCTGTACCTTTACATGACCAATCCTAGTGATAATTGCAAAGATTTCTCATCCATGCCAAGTTTTGGAAGGGTCTGGATCTGTGCAACAAACATTCAGGGACCTTTGGTGACAGGGATACACCTTCACATGACACTATATCTTTGTGATCATGACATCAATGCAGTTTCATTGCTAGGGAAGCCTGTTTTCAGTGTGCCTGAGGAAGGGCCAGAGTCTTCTGTTCTTCACATCTGGTAAGCGTGTTTTCTGGAGCCTGAAACACAGTCTTGAGGTCATCATTATTAAATCATGAATTAAATATACATCAAAGGAAAAGGACATTTCCATCAACAATAACCTTACCATTATAGACTAAAAGCTGTCTTGTGTGAGCTGAACTACCATGTCAAAACTTTGGAAGGAAATCCAACAACTCTGTTTAAGATATCCAGCGGCTTTTCGTGTTTACAGACTATATTCACAACATGTGTAAGACATGTAGTGATGTCCTTCCTAAGATTCTTTGTGGGCAAACTTGACTGTAGTGCATGAGCGGAAATCCTGGGGGGGGCAGGGGAGACACATCCCCTATGAATTTGGTACGGGGGACACAATGTCAAATGACCCCTCGATGTTTTAGGCAGAATAGAATACTAAGGGAATTGATGGAGAGATTTCCACCCGTAGTGTAGTGTACTTATCCATTTGCTGCTGAGAGTATCTTGATAAGTAGACATTGCATTTAAAATTCTAGGAGTCAAGTGGAACATTAAAGTAACCCGTAGGGCAGTTTTAGGCTGGATCACATGGTAAAGGTAATTGGTCTAGACTTCAAGGTGTGTGCGGTTCCATGCGAGGGCTAGGGGGTTTTAACCACTTC